AATGTATAAATGCATGTTTTTAGCAAAGCTGTAATTCTGCTTTCCCTTATGCACAAGTGTGAACTGTTCAAAGTGCATTTGATAATGAATTGACTGTCTGCTGTCATCTTTATTCAGCTGTTCAGTTATTTTACCTTTACAAATAATAATTTATCAGTAATTTATATAATCTGTTTTTCTATTTTATCTGCATGCTTATGATTTAACAATGATGTAATCACAATAATTTTAAAATAAGTTGTATAGTATCTCTATTTTTGTTCTAAAATAATAAAAATAAATAAAGAATTTGGTTTGCTACAGAAAATGTACCTGTTGTAAGATAACTAAAATTGTAGTTTTTAACCTGTCATTTCAAAGTGGGGGAAATTACTTTTCACATTCTATACTAGTACCAGTCACTGTTGCTACTTCTCCTAAGGAAATCAAATAAACATATAAGATGACATATAAACTAGTTGGACCTTGATGCTTTTGAGAAAGCACTCACTAGCTTACCTGGAAAATAAAACAACTTTTCTTTTCTTTTTTTTTAACACACCAGGCTTATTTTACTGAAAATCCCTTGTAGGATCTGATGACCAAAATAGGACCTTCTCAATGAACTCTGATTTTCATTCTGCGGGACTGAAAAGTGCAAATGCCAAAGCCTCTCCAAACTACTCTGTGCATGTGTGAAAGACACTTCTGCACACACAAGGCAGGAAGTTTGACCATTTTTCTACCCTGCCCTACAAACTTTGGGGCCCCCTGAAAGCTATTCCAGAGGGTCCACCAGCCTTTGGGTGGAGCCCTTCAGCTTGTATGGGAGCTGCCACTGGAACAGGGGAGAAGATAAGCCCCCTTAGCACAAGCAGAAGCAACCTTGTGATACTTGGAATGCTGGCCAAGGTCTATAGAGGAAGTTAATCAGGTTTTGTATACATGTGGGAAGCGGGGCTTTTGAATTACTTTATGGTCATTCTAACAGTTTTAAATAAGCTGAAAACTGCATTAAAATCCAGAAAGTGCAGTTCATAAAGTCTGTGTTGTGTTTGGATGTTTTTGTATTATTTAAAATTAAGCATTATCTTACCTAGACAAGTGTGCTGTTATCAAAACATTTTAATAACTATTCCAGTTGAAACAAACAAAGAAAACCTTCACTTCGGCTTCTGCTTGTTCCTTATTTTGAATAGTGAAATGCTGATGGTGCTACTTGATGATCCAGCTTCTTCTCACCTATGTGACAGTGAACGTCATAGTATCTTGTACACAAATTCATTAGTTTGTCACACATTTGTGTAATTCTACTGAGGGGTGTACTAAATATTTAAATCACAGCATGAAACACTGACACATAAAGTACCCGTTAGACCCCCAGAAGAAAGCTGCATTTCAGGAATAGACAGCTGTCAAGTCACCAAGTGATCAGGCTCAAATGATGCCAGAAATAATTTAAATAGCCATGTCAGTTTTTTCAGGTTGCTTAAGTTGAATGCTTGCCCTTAACAATTCCCTTCTCTTCCCCCCCCCCCACTTCGCATTGTTTACACACACAGCTAAATTATATGGGAGTTGCAGAGTATGGGACCAAGAAAATAAAGCACAAAGAATATGCAGCTCATAACCTTGTATATTTAGACATTAACTCTGCTTTGTCAAACTAAGTTATGTTTTCCATATAAAAATAATCTCCCACTTTACAGGAATTAAATTGTCTGACCTGACAATTCATTTAAATAATGCCCTCATCCAAAAATGTATCAAAACCACTCTGAGGCCCAATTCATAATACATTATCTCAGGAGTATGTATGCGGCCAAAAATAATGTCATTTGAGTTTTCATGCAGTTGCCAAGTTAAAGCGTAAATAAATAAATACCTATGTCAGTACAGCGGCAGATATTTATCATGTAATCTTCTCATATAGGAAAGTGTTATCACAACCCCATGAAGCTTTGGCCACAGTAAACTGACTTAACAGCAACCATATTGCCGAAATAACATTTGAAATTAGTTTTAGAAGTATCTTACAATAGTGCAGATAATTGAAGTATAATATAGACAGATGAGTGCAGTCAGCTCAATGTACAAAAATATGCTGTGAAAATTTCATTATGACAGGCTTGTCATTGACTAAAAAGCTATTTAAAAAATCCAAGGTGGATTTCTGAGAAACTGAGCACTGAATAATAGTTGCAAGCCAGGTTCAATTGGTACTCCAACAAGGATTCTAGGTGGATTTGGCAATATGTTAGACCTGTGATGTTATGGGCTGCTTCCTTACAGAAGCACCATATTGTCTAGTCAACTACATTTACACAAGCTCAATTCTTAAGGCCCTGGTCTTTTAAATTAAGGGCTTGCTCCTGGTATGGGCTGTGTTTGCAAGCTTCACACATGCATCCAGGCTTTCTCCATTGGAGCCCTTGGAAGCAGCTACCTGTGTGGTTTGCATACTCGGGAAAGGTTTTAAAATTATTTCCTTAACTCATTCATTGATTGGCTCGTTCTTATAAGGAAGCTGATATTGCCACAGACAACTATAGAGAGATGTAAGCACAAATACAAACACAAGACATCAGCATCAAAACCATAGCTATTTTGCCCCTTTTAGTCAGCTAACAATTCCTCATTTATTAAAATGGAATCCCAATATTTATAGTTCTTGTTAGAAATAGAATATTGTCTAATAATAGCACAAGAGGCCAGTGTTTTGCAACAGATCACACATTTTCATATATGCATGTGTGCATCATTTACCCTTTATTCTATCTGCTCCGTAGCAATGTGTAGCATGTGCTTTTTAGAACATGCTAAGCACTGAGATGTTACTGATAAACTGAAAACTTGACATAGCACTGTCCAGTTTCTTAAACAGCTTTACTCTCAAGGTGTCACTTTAAAAAAATAATTACAGTAGCTAACGTGATCCGTAGCCGGTGCCAAGCTGTCTTCTAGGGGTGGTGCTACCTGTTTTTCATATTATTCACATTCTAACCTACATCAAAGAGCCACCAACTGCTTAAGTTAATTGCCTCACAGGTAATTTGGCCAATAAACTGCTATCCCCATTTCACAGGAATGCTCTAAATCATTAAACTGCAACATGGAATTTCCCTCAAATTATGATTGCATGGAAAGTAGAAATCAGTAGCTGGCACAGTAAAGGTCTTTCTCTAATAAAACATCTGATACTTAGAAACCTTTTGGATCCTTGTAACCAAGTAGGGAAAGCTGAACAAGTTCCACTAACTGCTATTTCCCCAATAAAGGGCCTGGTGGTAAACTTGTAGATTTTTCCCCAAGAAGGATAATATCAGTGCAACTGATAGTAGTGGTAGAATATTGATAAGAACGTGATACTTGTTGCTATTTGTGGGGAAGGCTATGTGGTTCTGTTTTAAGAGCAGTAAAGGGGTACTTCATATGCTGTCTTTATTAGGCTGTGGCTGGTGACAAGTTTTGAAAGGCACCTTAATTTTCCAGAGTTGTAGCCAACAAAGTCCCATTAGCACAAGGATTTCCATCTGCCCAGTGAGACTTGCTGTCCCCACAACACCCCCCCCCAAATTTGCTCTATAGAGTTGGGGGGAACTTCCAGAACAGGTTGTGGGTGTGAAGAGAGGGAGAGAAAGTCTTGTTGCTCAGGCAGAGGTCCTTGTGCTATAGGACAACTTACTCTTTCCCAGATGGTGCGCTGTATCTAACTCTGACCTGTTCTTTAAGTTGGTAGATCTGAGCCAACTTCCTGTCAACAGAGACTGTTTGGGCTTTTTATAGAGACTAGGAAAACACTTTCCTTCACTGAAGTACCTTCTACAGTTGTCTTTGTCCAGTTGTACACATGTTTGTCATAAGAAAGTCTCTCACACGCTCACCTGCACCCCATTGCCAGCATGGGAGGGATGAATCCTACCCAGATGGTTACCTTAGCTTTCTATTTTTTCTGAGATAGCCTTAAGTACCAAAAAGCCATCAAACTGAAAAAGGCAGAGCATGGTCTTCGTGTGAGGACATTTTTGTAGCAATTTTACTATGTAATGCAAAGCTTAACCGAATGTAGTAGTAAAAATTCTAGAGCAAAGTGTTGCTCCGAGGCTACCTAGGAAACAAGCCTACATGGGATGGTAATGGCCGTTAATTCAATACAGTGGTACCTCGGGTTACATACGCTTCAGGTTGCATATGCTTCAGGTTACAGACTCCGCTAACCCAGAAATAGTACCTCGGATTAAGAACTTTGCTTCAGGATAAGAACAGAAATTGTGCTCTGGCAGCAGCGGGAGGCCCCATTAGCTAAAGTGGTGCTTCAGGTTAAGAACCGTTTCAGGTTAAGAACAGACCTCCGGAATGAATTAAGTGCTTAACCCGAGGTACCACTGTACAATAGTGAAGTGGCACAGGTGAGGCTGCGTTGCTCTCTTGGCTTCCCAATGCCAGTTGCTGAGAGGGGCAGGGCAGCAGTGAGCCTACAGCATACCAAGCTGCCCATTCCCTTGCCCCTCCTCTCTTGGTAATTGGCAGTGATGTGCAGCATTGAGAAGCCAGGAGAGCAATGCAGCCCCACCCACACCCCTGGCCACAGCTGATTCAGCTGCTGCTATTATTTAGTATTGAAAGTACAGAGGAAAGCTGTAGTAAAATTTATGCAGGCAGCTTGAGTTGTTGGAGGAAGATGCTCACAAAAGTGAATTGCTAAGCCCAGGGGTTGCTTTCTTTCTCCTGAGTCTTTGACTCAACAGCTTGCATTGGTTGTAATGGCATCTTTGTAAAATAGAAGTGGTTACTTCATTGGGATTGTTCTAGGCATGTAAAGGGATAGAGAACATTTTTCTCTATGCACATACGTATGGGGGGGGGAGGAAAAATCGGGCAGTTTTCTATGGATTCCAGAAATGACTTTTGCGCCTTTTGATTTGAATTTCATAGTCATAAAATAACTTTTATTAAAGAGCATTACATATAAACAATGTTATGAAAAAGCACTGTAATTCTCTGTTGTTCTTTTCCCCCAGAAATGCCTCCAAAACTTAAGAAAAAAGGACATTCTGGACGAGAACAGAAGAAGGTACATTGTTGTATAGGGGAAGATACTTTAATGTTTCTCTGCTTGACATTATGTTAATTTATCACAAAGAAGCCCACTCCACGTCCAATAGAATGGGCAAAGCTTTGCTCATCTCAGCTCCCTAGACCTGTCTCACATGGGAAGGCAATACAGGATATGGAATCCTGCAATACAGAATATGGAGCCAGTAAGATTCATTCATCTAGGCCCCTAGCATTAATCAAGGTTTGGAGTTTGTGAAAGATAGGGTCCAGAATGGACAAGGAATTATCATTGGGTCCAGCTCTCAGGTTTCCTCAAAGGCTTAATGTTTTTTCCCAGTTGAAGAAGTAAGTGTTTGATTATTGAGGAAGTGCAGCTCAAACAAGAGAGGCTGTTATAAAAGATTTTTAAATTGCCTTTTGAAGAATTTTTTACTGAAATTCTTAGTATTTCAGTTAGTTCCATTACATAAGTACAGTTTGGGAGCAAGAAGCTAAGTATTGAACTTACCGTGCTCTTTGTGCAGTGCTATCTTTCCTGGCAAAATACTTTTATAAATTTACTGATTGCTGAAGCTAGCATTGAGTATGGGGCTGGGGCAACAGTAAACTTCAAAAAAATACAGTGGGTTTTGTTTTTTTCTAAAAGAGTACTTTATTTGGTTGCATATTTTTCTTCCTAAGGCTCGGTGGTCTGCTATACTCTTATTAAGGTACACACTTCGCACAAGTGCATGTACGAAGTTTCAGCAACCAGTTTTTGTAAAAGCAAGCAACTTCGGGAGAAGATGTTTTTATGTGGAGAATTATCATGGGAAAGCTAACACAGTTCCCACAGTTTTTCCACTGCAGCTCCCCTTCTCCACGCTGTTTTTCTCCATCCTAGCGATTCAGTTGAGTGAATGCTGGGAAGGAGAAACTAGGGACAGGGCGGTCTAACGAAAGGGGTAGCACTCCCTCCCCGTTGTTTCCCATGCAGAAACTTGATTGTATACTCTGTTTCTTTCCTGCAGCATCACCATCACCACCATCAGCAGACGCAGCAACAGCAGCAGCAACAGCCACAGTTGCAACCACAGCAGCTGCCCCCACCACCTCCTTCAGCCCCTCAACAAGCAGCCCCTCCAGTCAAATCCTCTCCTCCAGCTTTTGTTCCAGTGCAGATCCCAGTTATGGAGCATCCGCTCCCAGGGAATATGTTTGACACTATTTCACATTTCACTCAACCGATTATACACCTTCCTCAGCCAGAAATGCCGCCCCATCTCCCTCAGCAGCCTGAGCACAGCACTCCTCCTCACTTGAATCAGCATACAGTAGTTTCTCCTCCAGGTGAGTGCTGTTTCTTGGATGTATAACAATGTGCACTGTAGTTTTTTAAGTTCCTCATAGGACATTATGGACATTTGAGCAATATTGCAGCCCAAGGCAGTACAAATCAAGGGGAAGTTTCTCTTGAAATCAGAGGACTATTTTAGACATAACGTTCCTAGTTTGCTAAACCATGGGGTTGTATCCAGTGAAATCATTCAGTACGTTTCCAAGCACAATTCAAAGTGTTGGTGCTGACCTTTAAAGCCCTAAATGGCCTTGGCCCAGAATACCTGAAGGAGCGTCTCCACCCGCATTGTTCAGCCTGAAGTCCACTGAGGTTCAGCCACTGAGGTCCAGCTCCGAGGGCCTTCTCGGTAGTGGCGCCCACCCTGTGAAATGCCCTCCCTTCAGATGTTAAGGAGATAAATAATACACAGATTTTAGAAGACATCTGAAGGCATCCCTGTATCAGGAGGTTTTAGCACTTGATGTCTTATGTTTTGAGATATGCTGTAAGCCACCCAGAGTGTGTGTGATCAGTGTGTGAAGGGGAGGAGGCATGGGATGGGGAATGTCGTTCAGTCCCCGTTCTTGTTCCCAGCTTGCTAAACTGTGGTTTAGAAAGACTTGAACATTGTATCAACACCGGGCCGTAGTTGAAGGGTCAGGATTTTGAGTTTAAAGGGCTGGTTTTCTATGCCATAATGTGCAGGATCCTTTCTCAGTTGACCTCTTTTACACAGAAAAAGTTGTGTGGGTCTTTTTTGTGTGTGGTGGTGGTAAAAAAAAAAAGGTGATCTTCCACCTGAAACCTGTAGTAGTACAATCCATTCTACTGTATCAGAGCTCAGCAACCTTATTCCCATTCAGCTGCATGCATAGACCTGACCTTAATCTGTGAGAATAATACAACTGTTTTCCGTGTCACAGTGTTGATGTAATGTCTTCCTGCTTTCTCTTCCGCAGCTTTGCACAATGCTCTGCCTCAGCAACCCTCAAGACCTAGTAATCGAGCTGCAGCACTCCCCCCTAAACCTGCTCGGCCTCCCGCAGTGTCACCAGCTCTTAACCAGCAACCCATGCTTCCGCAGCCCCCACTTCCCCAGCCTCCCCAGGAGCTTTTAGAGGATGAAGAACCTCCTGCTCCTCATCACAACCTGCTGAGTAGTAGCCAGATGCAGCTGTACATTCAGCAGCTGCAGAAAGTGCAGCCACAGACTTCTCTCCTCCCTTCAGTGAAGGTCCAGTCGCAGCCTCCGCCATCCCTGCAACCTCCCCCCCATGCTCCAGTGCAACAGATGCAGCATCAGCCACAGCAGAGGCCAGTACATATGCAACCAATGCAGTTCCCTCCCCATATCCCTCAGCCTCAGCCACCTCCGCAGCAGCACCTACTCCCACAGCAGCAACAGCCGCCGCCGCCGCCACAGCCGTCAAAACCCCAGCAAGTCATCCAACACCACCCATCGCCGCGACATCACAAGCCAGATCCCTATTCAGCTGGTGAGTAATCTAACGTGAATATAATAAACACTTGAAACGTACCAGGGTGGGGTGGGGGCCCTGAATTGCTTTGCTTCCAAAATCTTCCACGCTTTACTGATGTTATTTATGATAAAATCAATGGAGGCTATCACACTACTTAAAAGTCATGAATTGAAGAGAACACAAGGAAGGAAAAGGGGGGTTTCTAACTGGAGTTATTGTGGGTTTTTAAATCAAATTCATCTCCAATATATTTTTGTTTGACAACGTTATACTATTGTATCCATTTAGTAATAACAATTTCATTTTGACAAAACATTTGACTCTTCAGTAGCCAACAGTTTTTCCTTTGCACCTGTACTCTGTTCAATTAGTGCCATGCATAGTGTTTCTTTTCAGAATGCCCCTTGCTCATTTAATACCTCCCCTAGACTTCAGTTTCCCTTGCTTAAAAGACAATAATATTATAAGGTGAAGCAATCCATTGTCTTAGATTATCTGAGCTATTAGGTAAAATGCATTTGACTCAGGTTTTCTGTTTTTGGATTCAAAAATCCCATGTGTCCTGCTGCATCATTCTGTATTCATATCTCATACATACATACTATGTTATGATCAGTGTTAGAAACTAAGATATGAAAGCTAGGAGCTAAATGGCACCTTAAACCTAGGTTATGGCGCAACAACAGAATGTCTAGGCACACTTTTTTATAACAAGAATACAAAGATGAAAATGAATGAACTTCAGCTAAAATATTATGTTCCTTCCCCTGCCCACCCCCCTAATATTCTTAAGAGGTTCTCTTCTCCAGTCTTCTGAGAGTAGCTGGAAGTGGGGAGGCAGAAAAAGGTCCTCCTTTCCTTCCATTCTGCCGTTTTAATCTGAAATCTTAGGTGCAGTACTGTGCCCAGAGCTCAGAAACTGCTCAAACTGCTCATCCTAATGAAATTCCCTGTCACAAAATATGCCTAGCCTAGAACAATGGGAGTTTCGAACACTGGTTATGATATCTCAAAAGGACTGATACAGTGTAAATGGTGCCCCATCTGTAATTAACCGAAAGAGTCCGCTGCTGAATGATGACACCTTGGGAAAAATATAGCACTTTAATCATTGTTCCTGCAGGCACTGTAGGAGCAAAAGTTAAGGTGCTATAATGTGCTCACTGTAGGACAGAAGAGCCAGAAAATATTTTCACAGTCATAGTGCTGGATTTCTTAATGAGGCATAGTGAAGTGTTTTGTCTGGGTCTTCACTTCTTCCTCTTCATAGCTAACATTCATTGAGCACTTATGTACTGTATATAATATTAACTCTTCCTAAGGAGCTTGCAGTGTACAATAAACAGGCAAAACTGAAATGGGAAAAGGGAAAAGTCAAGTATTAACTCATTTGTAGTTTGGATGGGAAAGGACAGAGACACATAGTGATGGAGGACTAGGTAAGTGAAGTCTGGGTGGCTTTGCAAAGGCTTTGCAAAAATAAAATAGTTTTGAACAGGGGTCGGCAACGTTTTTTGAGGCCAGGCTGGTCCACTCCCCGGCAGACCTCTCCGTGGGCCAGGGTGTGTGCACCCGTGCGTGCGCTCAAGCTATTTCCAGTGCTCCTCCGTCCCGGAGGTGCACCAGAAATAGCGTGTATGCATGCGTATGAGCGCTCCTCCGGGTGAGGACACACTATTTCTGGCGCACTTCTGGGACGGAAGAGCACCTGTGTGCATGTGCACACGCTATTTCCGGCACTTTTCCGGAAGTTGGTCTCCAAGGCGGAAAAAATGGTGCCGGGGGGGGGGAGCACAGAATCCCCACGCTGATCCACAGAACAGCTGTGGGCTGGTTCCAGGAAGCTCATGGGCCAGAACCTGCCCATGGGCCTTAGGTTGCTGACCTCTGGTCTTGAAGAACAATTGAAAGGCATCAAGGAAGGTAACTTAATTGATTGGCAGATACTGATCAGGGCATAGGTAGCATGCAGAAGTCACTGACAGGAACTGAGGGGGGGGGATGAGAGTGGAGATAGGGAACATTAAATGTGAAAAATAGCATTTTGAAGCTTTTGTGAAACACATTCAGAATCCACATACATAGGTTATGGCTAGACCACATAATGGTGCAGACAATGAAAGATCAACTTCTAGTTTGCACATTGCTTCATTGGGCTGATTCCTGCAATTATGCAGCAAAACACACCCATTCTCCATTCATTGATGAACATATGATAATCTGAACATGCTTGAGAAACATTAGAGGGCAAAAATGCTTTTAATGAATTCATATTTGGTAAATAGCTAATAATTTAGTAAAGGCGTTCCCAACCCCAGTTGTAACACATTCTGGTCAGAACTTCTACTGCAGATCATTGGCCCATTATCTCAGAACTTTTGGTTAATGGCTCTGACTGAACTGTGATAAGAAGCTGACGGACTGGTGCTGAATTGTTACAGGTCATTTGAGAGAAGCACCTTCTCCTCTCATGATGCATTCCCCACAGATGCCACAGTTCCAGGGGCTGCAACATCAGTCTCCACCGCAACCAAATGTCCAGCCAAAAAAACAGGTAAAGACATAGTTTGAATGTAAAGGACTTTCCAGAATTCAGTTTGCCCATGAACCTTGAAAACATTATCAAGGTGAGAAAACAGGTATTTGCCAAACACTTTTAGTGCAAGATGGGGTGGGCTTACACAGGGAAAGCTACGTTAGGAAATTGTGATTGACATGCGTTTGTCCTGCTGTGACAGGAACTGAGAGCCGCATCTGTGGTTCAGTCACAGCCTATGGTAAAAGAAGAAAAGATGCAATCCCCAGTCATCCGAAATGAGACTTTCAGCCCAGCCTTGCGGCAGGATCCTCCCAAACACCCAGAGAGCATCAAGCCACCTACACATATCCAACAACGTGAGTGACAATTGAAATCTGTTTGTCGAGTGTGATGTGTCATTGTAGATTTGTCCACATAAAAGAGGAAAGGCTAAATTTCTCATACTGATCCATGATCAATCCTTCTATAGTGCCGACCAACAGGAACAGGTTTTTACAGTGATTATTGTTGTTTCAGGAACAGAGATGAAGCCAGTGGACAGTGGGCGGCCTGTTATAAGACCCCCAGAGCAAAATCCACCACCTGGAGTCCAGGACAAAGAGAGACTGAAGCAGGAACCAAAAACACCAGTTGCCCCTAAAAAGGTAACAGTCCCATTATCAGCAAGTGTCTCTAAAAGTGAATCAAGAGTATTATAACTATCCTTGGAAAATGTGATTTTAGCGATCTGGGCTGAATTGCTGACACTCCCGCTAGGCATTGTTTCTTAGTGGAACAAAGAGTTATAGTTATAAGCTGTAATGTACTTCTTCTTTTTCCTCCTCAGGATTTGAAATTAAAGAATATGGGCTCCTGGGCAAGCTTAGTGCAGAAGCACCCCACTGCACCATCCTCTACAGTGAAATCCAGCAGCGACAGCTTTGAGCACTTCAAGAGGGCAGCCCGGGAAAAAGAGGAGCGTGAGAAGGCTTTGAAGGCTCAGGCAGAACAAGCAGAAAAGGAGAAGGAGCGGCAGAGACGGGAGCAAGAGAGAATGAGGTGAGAGGAGCCTGTACTGCTAACCCATTCACCTGCAAATAAGGAGCAAGCACATGCTTCATTGTGTTCACATAATTTTATGATCATAGGTGCTGTAATTTGGCATAGGTGTGCTAGGTCTTGTTTTTGCTATGCCAACCTGCTGTTAGGTAGGTTGAAGTCAAGCTATAGCAGAAATCCTATACCCCCGTTGTTTTGTATTTTCACGGTTAACAAGCTGTCGAGCAGTGCCTTCAAATCAGCATGTTATTCCTGGACGCTGTTAGTACCTTCTCAGGTGCTAAAGAAAAAAATGCAAAGAGTAGTGTATGGTTTTAATGGTACTTTTGGTCTTGGGCAGGAGTCGTGAAGAGGAGGATACTCTGGAGCAAGCTCGTCGAGTTCATGAAGAAGTCCGACGGCGCCAGGAGCAGCCACCACAGCATCATCAACCACCACCACCACCACAGCAGCAGCAACAACAACAGCAGCAGCAGCAGCAGCAGGTGTCAGCAGCAGCCTCTGCTCCCCAAGCACAGAGCTCTCAGCCGCAGGCTTCTCAGTCCATGCTGGACCAACAGAGAGAGATGCTCAGAAAACGAGAGCAGGAACGAAGGCGCAGGGAGGCAGTAAGTGAGGGAGAAAGGGATTATTGGGGTTTGAATGAGAAGCTGTTTCGACAACAAGCTAAACAACAGAGGCTCACTTTGCTGGTATAATTTTTAATTTGCTCACTACGTGCCAGAGATCCTCAGTCTTTTTCACAGGATTCTCACGTTAAGCCTACAATCCCATGTACATGTACCTATGTGTTAAGTCCCACTGAGTTGTGGAACTTCTGAGTAAAGTAAACATGTTTAGGGTTGTGACTGTAAATCAGGTGTCCCTCCTAGAAATAGTTGTTCCATATTCATTGACAAAGCTCTCAGATTTCCCTCTCTCTAAATTTCTATATTTTTCTTTTCTGTTTCTTACTGACCTTCTTTTTAATATACCCTTTTCATGGAAGTTCCCAGAGTCTGCATTTTACAAGTGTACAGATACTGTCCACACATGGTCATTGCTCCATGTGCACATAATGCTAAGTCATGGTTTGTAGTAATGGCTTCAGCAAATGCTGAGTTATCTCACAGACGAACAAACAAGACATGTCTTGTTTCTTGAAAGCTTGGTTGATTTTCTAAATGCCACTCTTGCCTTGTGCCTTTGTAGCTTGATGAGCATCTGAAGTGCAGTGGCCTAACAAACCAGAGCTAAGCAGAGTTGTTGGGTTTTGACATAACCCCTATCTGTAGTTAAAACAAGACATGTTCATAAGCCAACAACAACTTATGGTTTCACATTGTGGGTGGCATTAAGTTTTTCTCAAAGTAGACCCATTAAAATTAATAGGCCTAATTTAGCCATGTTAATTAATCAGACTAACCAAACTATGGCTTGGTGTTATGTGTGAACCAGGCCACTGAGGTTTAATCAGATTTGTCTTCAGCACAAGGGGGACCTTTATTCCACCGAACCTTTCATACACACAACTTGTTCTTCTTAGGGCCAAACCATAGGTGTCTACTTTGAAGTTAAATTATACTTCCTTCTTGTCCCACCTTCGCATCCTTCATTCTCTCTCTTCCTCTCCCTCTCCCATACCAACACACATTTCTCAACATCATGTTCCCTGACACTGTCATTCTATCCTGTTTCTTTTATAAGGCAGTGGTGTAATAGATAACAGAAAAGAAAGCACCATCTGCCGGAGCCCTTTTAATGTTGTCTGGTATGATTTCCTTAGACCTGCCAAACATACTGTGCTATTCACTAGGTTTTCTGGAGTCAAGAATTCAGCCTGCCCCTTTATGGAAGAGATTGCCACTGCCTGGTGGGTTCTGCAGCAGAAAGCCCCCTTTTCTACTGGATGGCTATCTGAATATAACCTTTCCTGCAAACCTGGGTGACTGTTGCCTTCTCTCCTCTTTTCCAGATGGCAGCTACTATCGACATGAATTTCCAGAGTGATTTGCTGGCAATATTTGAAGAGAATCTTTTCTAATAGCGCCTGGTTTTCTTTGCCTGACTCCTTAATTTCCTGGCAAATCTTTGACTCTCCATAGTGTTGTTGGCGGCTGGGAGGAGAGCATTCCTGCAGCCTTTCTGCATGTGTGACAGATGCGGCCTCAGAAGGATCAGCAGAGTCTGCCTTACAATGTGATTTTCTTCCCCACCCCGCCTCACTGAAGAAAGAAAGACCAAGACAAGCCAACTCTGTACTAGGTTTGAGTCGGTGGACATGCAGTTACCGGGAAGGGTGCCCCTGATCACTTGATATTCTCTATGCCAAACTTACTTGCAGTATATCCAGGACTTAATGCTGTTCACCCCTTTTCTATTCTTAAGAGTTCTGAGTTACAGAATGTCTTTGACTCTACAATGCTGTGTGCTGGCAGCACAAGACACTCTGCATTGAGAGGCTGTGTACAAGAAGACATACAAGCTGTTTCTGAGTCCTGTCATCACTGGCTTTGCCTTTAACTAAACTTCCCACAAGCCTGTAGCTGGGAGCCATTCTCTGTAAGTGTTCGCTTGTGAAAAAGGGAATAATTTAGCGGAGGTGTCAAGTGTTACCTGGCGATTTGAGTGAGGTTTTTGTTTTTAGCATTGTGTGGAGGTCCAGGAATCTGAGCTAGACTACCAACCAAAGTCAGTTTCTTTCAATCTGTTTATTTTCCTCCAGACAAATTGGCACTGCTCAGCTCTTGAGTGGGTATTCTTGTCTCTTCATTATGGATTGGAGTGGGGAAAACATTAGCACCAGGGGTATCTCCCACCCTGTCAATAGTGTTTGACTGTGGCTGTATTGTATAGTGAATATAGTTGGCATATATTTGTTTGAGTTTTATTGGTGAGCCCACCAAACTCTGTAAAGACACTGCTTATATTTTGCTCAGTTCCAGACTTTTCATCTATATTTTTAACTGTAATACCAGAAAGATACATTTTGGGTTTTAAATGTCATGGAGTCTGTTAAATTAGTTTTTATACAGCAAAGGAGCAACTCCAAGGAGGGAGTGGGAGTGGACTTGGATCAGCAGGAAGGCCTGCTCCTCTTGCCTTCAGTTGAGTTCTCTCACACACTAGCAGTGATCGTTTTCCCAGCACCTTTAGTGTGTTTTTTTTCCATTTTACTCTTTGAATTGTTCCAAGTTTATGTGCCATAAATACCCACTATACAGTACAATACTGGTGTGTCAGTATTGGCCAATCTCTGGAGTAATTAATTGGTTTTACTTTAATACGGTGAATATGCATTTGGTCTGTACTGATCATGGAATAAACTCATCTCTTTTTTTTTAAAGTTGGTGTCGTACTGACATTTCTTTTAAATCCTGCTTGTGATGAAATTACTTAAGGGGGTAAAGCTGCAAAAGGACAGCTTGCCCCCTCACCTGTCTTGCTCCAGCAGAGAAAGGAATTCTCTGGCCACAATTAGCAGGGTTTCTGTCTTGTCACAAACCTGGGAAAAGCTTTCCCTGGGAGCAATCCTAAAGCAACAGAATTTCCTAGAAACTGTAGGAAGACAAAGTATCAAGCAGTTGGTGCCTTCTCAGAAGAGACTTTCCCAGAAGGCATCTTACCCCATGGCTGGTTTCATGCTGTAGAACTAAACCAAAAGTTGGAAAAGACCATGCAGGGATTGCTCTCTGTTACTTCCTCTTCCTGCAGTGGACAAATCTTAGCAAATGTATGATGTAGCTTCCAGCAGTGAAAATTGGCCCACTTCAGTTGCAATGAGAAAGAGGCAAGGTTTGTCTGCTTATGGACAATGGTCCTCCTTGGACAAGTCCCATGTTGTCAGTGAAATACTTTCTTTTAAATTTGGCTGCCTGAAAAGTGCTTAGGTTTGGTGCATTTGGACTGGCTGCAGCTGACCCCTTGAGGATCCAGTGAAAGGAGAGGAAGGAATAGATAGTTCACCTTTCTGTACTCTTCCTCCAAACAAGTGTTCTCAGAGGACCTCCTGGCCCCAGAATTTGACAGTGTAGAGCTTGTGTTGATACCTCTCTTGACAAAATGTGACTGTTCTGACAGAAACTGTCCTGAGTCTGGGTCAGTGGGGTTGGGCTATCGAACACTGTTATTCAGTGTACCTATTCCTGGCAGCTCGGGCCCTCCCTGGCTAGCTGCTGTAGAGGATGCTATCATTTTGCGTGAACACCTCAAACCAACCTCACTTTTGCGCGTTCAGCCAAAGACACCTCTATTTTCCCATATGACATAAGTTTTGAAAGACAGTTTGCATAATTTGCCATCATCTCTTCACTCATATGAGATGCATTGCCCAACTAGATTATAACTGGCCAAATGGGAGATAAACTCAGCCTTGTATTATATAATATGTATGTTGTGAAAAGGGTGGTGTCCAAAATGACATAAATATAGGTAGCAACTTATGCTGGGCTACCTTCATGTCTCCAGACCTGGAAAAGACTGTACTACCCTTACTCCTCATGTGATTTTCCAGTGTATTGGGAGGAGTGGGAAAGGCAATACCTAAGGTAGCTCTCAACTGCCTCTGATTAGTATTGCCCTTGCATCTTTTGGTCCTTTTCAGCATCAATCTCAGGTCTTTTTGCAACAGGTGTGTATTGTGGCCTGCTGCACAGCTCCAATACCAGGCTATAGGCTGCCACTGTCAGATGGCATGGCAGACCATGTGTCACCCATTCCCAGCCTAACTTTGGACTTGGCCTTTCAATGAGCAATTAAATCTCTATGCCCTTAGTTGTCAGAGGTGCATGGAGCAGTAGCCATGTACTGAAGGGAACAGACTGAATTTAGGGGCCAGTGATTCTTTGGTATTCTTGTGAGCTGTTGGTCTTCACACTGAATTTTTACCTAAAGGTGCCTTTTTAACTCTACATCATTAGAAGATCTCCAAGCTTTTCTGTGTAGAGTACCAGACAGTTGGGTACTTTGAGGGAGTGAAGGGGTGTCTAAAGAAGAGATGCTCCCAAGATAGCCTCTGTGAAGGCTGTCGAGTATTACCTTGCTGAAAGGATGTGCAAGTAGGTGTTGGTCAAGCTTTCTGCCACCATGAGTTGCTTAAAGCAAGCAAAATGTTGTCTGTGTTCTCCTTCTTCCTGGTAGTTGCCAGTCTTGAGAAGGCCAAGGGGGTGTATGCACTTCCATCTCCAAGCCCAGCAGATCTGTATTAGGAGTGGGCTAGACTTCTGGCCAATAATTGCCCTTAGCTTTAAAATGCAACTGTGTAGTCCAAAGGATGCTGGGTTTCTGAGGACTGTGCACTGGCCTGGGGGGGTCACTGTATGCTTGGGAACGTGTAGCTGTTCATTTTTTGGACCAACATAAAGGTAGTCACAGTACGCTGGATTGTACACAAAACTAGCTTCCACCCTTTAACTGCTGGCGTGTGAGCATTATTACTTCAGAATGAACAAGATGTTGAATCTCTCACTCACGCAGATTCTTTGTGAAGGTTTAATTGATGGATTAGCCCTTGGTTTTAAATTGTATCCCAGAAATTGTCAGGGAAAGGGGGCTCATGTTACTGTGGCTACGGCTCAGAATTAAGTAGAAAGAGCCCCTTGCATCCCCTCCTCTTCCCTGTGCCACTGGCGCATCCTATTTACCACAAGTTCATTAACTGGCCTTAATCTTCTCTTCTTGGCTCTTTTTGTGCAGATCTTTGATGGGGAAGTAGGAACTTTGGCTTCCCTTCTGAACGTTGTTCTGATCTTTTCATTTCCATTGCCAGTCCTTTCTCACAGTATTCCTTGCCCCCATGTCTCCCCCACCCCACTTGCCCTTTTTACGAAGCACTTTGGATGATCATCTCCCTCCTTTAATTTTAAGCTCAGGGTTTTTGGGGTACTTTTAGTGCACGTCCGCTGTAAGAGTTGATCACAGATGAGCTCACATCCACTGTAAGAGTTGGTCACACATGAGCTTATCACAATTGTACATAATAAAACCGCACCATACTGACAAAAATAAAGGCATAACAAAATGGAGATGCTGGAACTTCTACCAAGAGAGCACCCTCGACTGTAAAATTTTAAAAATATATAATTTATATGTATGCAAAGAACAACACCCCTTGTATCTAGTCAGTAGTGAGGTTAGTCCTTTTTTAATGTTAACCCCTCTTTTTGCATTTGACATTTGCCAAACCTTGTCGGTAGTTGAGAGTTCCAAGTAGTGATAGAGTTTTTTAGATTGGTGGCTTACTCAGCTGTCTCGTTCTTCCTCCTCACTCTCCTCCCCTCCTTTCTATCTTTTGCAAACTTCTTGAAATGTTTACAGGCTTGCACCTATCTACTTTAATTTTTTTAAAGCTGTACTTGGTATTTTATTTTTACACATTTCTGAATGATGAACATAGGGTGATATCGTTAGTTGGGACATGATTCTTTTTTTTCTGCCAAAGGTATTTTTTGCTATTCTTGTGTTTTATTTTTCTGTTTTTACAAAATGTTTGTGTTTATAATTTGGTTGTCATTCAGACTGAGACATATTTAATTTCCCTTTCTTCCCCCAACCCCATGTATGATTTTAACAATTACAGACATTAGATGTAGGAGTCTAGCCTAAATGATGTAATCTTGTTTATTTTTTCCCCTTCTTCAGTCTTGTACAAATGAATAAGAGAAATGTACAATCCCACTGTACTTAATGCACGGAACGCTTGGCAAATAATTATGTCAGTGAATTTGAAATTGTATTAAACACTTTAGACATTTGTAGAAGGGAATTCATAGAATTTTCACTTATATACTAAAGGTTTTTTGTGCAGTTCTCATTGCAAAAAATAAACATTTGTACTGAAGATATGAAGTACACTTTTTTTCTTTGATCTTTTGCTCTTGTACAGGAAGACTTGGCAAAGGCTACACTGAATGTTGGGTCCCAGCTCATCAACTGGTTTCCCTCACAGTTCAAATTTCAGTTGCATGTTGTACAAGCTCAGTTCTCTGAAAGCCCTCCCCAGTACAGAAATTGCCACTACAATTTGTTTTCAAATATTTCAAATCTACCCCATACCAAATGCTGAAATATCAGCACTGCAACCTATATATGCTCTAATGAATAAACTAATTTGTTCTGTATTTCATAATTTTATAATTTCATGATGTTTTAATTATTTTATTGTTTTTTATTAGTTGATGGTATATAAATGCTTCTTCAAAAAAATAAGTCTGCCCCATACCAAATGTTGAAATATCAGGACTGCAACCCATTAAAATAGGAGACCACAGTCAAAATCCAAAACTGCCAGACAGTACTAGAAACAGGGTGTTTTGTTTATTTATTTATATTAAATTTGTATAGATCTCAGGGCTGTTCACAGCATAAAAATACAATATTAAAGCACAAAATATATAATAAAAATAAGCACAAAACCAAAACACCAGTAACCTCTGTTCCTCCTGCCCAACACATTTTAAAGGGTATAGGATGTCTATTAATTAGCCCAAGGCCTGGTTGAAGAGGAACGTATTCACTAGGCAGCTAAAGGTGGATAATGAAGGTGCTAGCTGGACCTTCCTGGGGAGAGCACACCACAAATGGAGATCCACTGCAGAAAATGCTCCTTCTGTTGTTGCCACCCTCTCATGGAGGAAGCGCATGAAGAAGGGATCATATGATGATTGCAGTTTCCAGGTCAATTCATATGGCGAGAGGTGATCCTTGAGATATTGCAGTCCTGAGCCATTAAAGGCTTTATAGGTCAAAACCAGCACTTTGAATTGGGCCTGGAAGCTAATTGGCAGCTAGTGAAGCCATAACCCCCATAATCTACCTGCCTCAAGTGAGTGAATTGTGTCCTGCCTTTAAATATGATTTTGATTTTTTCTCTATTTCATTTTATGCTAGTTTTAATGTATGTTATTCATTCATTCATTTGCTGTTAATTCACTTTGAGTGAACTTTTGTAAATAAATACCAACTAGTAAGTTTTTTTATTATTGTTTTATATAACCCATCATCCTACCTCCCTAACCATAGCTGCTTACAACCAGTCCAAATAAAAAAGGTTTACAACAATCCTGAAACATCCTCAGATGCTGCCGAGTCTTCAGGGGAAGGAAGTCCTGCAATTGCAGAAGTTGCCATTGAGAGTGTACACAGATCGTAATCTCAAGCAGGCTGGTATCAGCTGAGTGTTAAGACCACCAGCATCTTTAAGAGGCGTACACCATCAAAGGGCTTTGCAACCCAAACTAGCATCTTGAGTTGAACTGTATCCAGAAATCACTGAGGAACAAGTGGAAATACTCGAAAGGGCTGTAACATGTTCCTTACAACCTGCCCCTGCCAGGAGATACACTCCTGCATTCTGCTCAAAGTTTAAAACCCTAGAAAAGCTGGTATTTTGGCAATGATGAATTATCATGATGGTCACTCCATTGCTACAGAAATGATAAAAACAGTAGTGATGTGACAACCGTTTGAAGCTGCTATGTGACTGACTACATCAAATATCAGAGCAATAGTAATAGGGTTGCATGGCCAGAATATAAAATGGGGAATCAGTGATGCTCAGTGTGCAGGTGCCTACAAAACCACTAGTAGAAGGAAGAACTATAAAACATTCAAGTCTCTGTTCTGTGTGATCTCCCCAATTTGCAGTTTTAAAGGGCATTTTAATCAGATGACCCCTCTTTCAAGAGAAGCGTTACAAATTGGAAAAAATCTCTGTTCTTAGTCCCACTTTACAAAAGACTACTGGATTGAGTCATACTTTTTACTACAAATAGTTTTGTATGTAGTACAGGCAGCAGCCGGCAATACTGGCAACAGCTGCAGTGGAGTGCTATTCCCATGGCTGCCCGCTACTGCCAATTTCTCCACGGTTCGTGGAGACAGTTGACGTTGCTGAGAGGGAAGAGCAAAGCACCACCCTGCCTTCCCCCTAGAAGGGAGAGGATGTGGTTGCCTACCCTAGGTGAGCTTCTGCTGCAATTGCTGATTCCCCACTCCACCAGACCTTGCCTGTGAGGCAGAGTAAGTCCCAGTATGCCGATGAGCTTGCTTTTTATGGGTTTATGTATGACAGCAGACGGGGTACCTCTCCTCAATCCTGGAAGGTGAACATACTTCAAAACTCTTCTGACAGGGGTGGGAAATTAAAGCTGACATTGAAACAAACACATGAGCTAATTTTCACACACACACGATTAATACCAATTTTCATTATTATTACCACAGGGTACACACAATGATACAATTCTCTTCATAGTGGTGGAATGATTATACCTCATATAATCAAATGGGTTATTGACAGGCTCCCTTACTAGAGGGCATTGTTAAATTTCTATAACATCCATTTGAAGATCACAGGGCAGTTTACAATATAAAACCACAGAAATGCAAACCATAATAACAAACAAAACCAATAACTCCACACACATAGTTTAAGAGGCCATAGCTTGTTATTTATAACAGTATACAAACAAGCACATTATTATTCATATCAGATGCACATCAGTATCAGTTTGCATATAGTAGTATTGGGGGGGGGGGGTTCTAGAAAGAGGTGGTGAAACTTGCTGAGCATCCACCCAAATTTGTTGAGCTGAAAGGCTGCCAGAACGCACCAAAAAGGTTCTGCTGAGTTCCAGCTTTATAATAATAATAATAATAATAATAATAATAATAATAATAATTTTTTATTTATACCCCGCCCTCCCCAGCCAAGGCCGGGCTCAGAGCGGCTTACAAGCAATAATAAAAACAAGATGAATGATTACAACTTAAAAACAAAAATAAAATACAACATTAAAATAATGGAATATTAAAATGTAGCCTCATTGCAGGAGGAGAAGGAAAAGAAAAAAGAAAGAAAGGGAGGGAGGGAATCAAATTGGCTCCAAGCCAAAGGCCAGGCGGAACAACTCTGTCTTACAGGCCCTGCGGAAAGAAATCAGATCCTGCAGGGCCCTGGTCTCATGAGGCAGAGCATTCCACCAGGCCGGAGCTTTAAAAAAAGCCATGGTATTATATACCCGTTCCTAGTAATGGCAAGCTCTGGAAATGTTCCCATATACCACAAGTAATTACAGTGGTACCTTGGGTTACATACACTTCAGGTTACATATGCTTCAGGTTACACACTCCGCTAACCCAGAAATAGTGCTTCAGGTTAAGAACTTTGCTTCAGGATAAGAACAGAAATCAGGCTCCAGCGGCGCAGTGGCAGCAGGAGGCCCCATTAGTTAAAGTGGTGCTTCAGGTTAAGAACAGTTTCAGGTTAAGAACGGACCTCCGGAACAAATTAAGTACTTAACCCGAGATACCACTGTATTGGCAATAAGTCTGTACAGTGGTGCCCCGCAAGACGAATGCCTCGCAAGACGGAAAACCCGCTAGACGAAAGGGTTTTCCGTTTGCGATGCGCTTCGCAAGACGAATTTCCCTATGGGCTTGCTTCGCAAGACGAAAACGTCTTTCGAGTCTCGCCATTTCCCCCCCGCTTCCCCCCCCTTTTTCAAAGGCGCTAAGCCACTAATAGCCTTTTAGCAGCTTAGCCGCTAATCCTTTAATAGCCGCTAAATCGCTAATAGCGCTAATCCTCTTAGCCGCTAATGGGGTTGCTTCGCAAGACGAAAAAACCGCTAGACGAAGAGAATCGCGGAACGGATTCTTTTCGTCTTGCGAGGCACCACTGTAATCCTTAACTGAGGATACATTCATTATAGCTGCTAATAACGCGAGTGACATGTTCTTAGCCACACTAGCAGCAATATTCATCTTAAGCCTATAGATGGCACATTTGTGTTCATTCGTGCACACCAAGGAAGGTATCAGCTGGCATGGAGGAAGTACAAGAGACATGTGGGATGTAGGTGGAAACACAGTTCAATGAGATTGAGCACGCTCAGTGGCCACAGAATGCTGTTTTAAGTTTGGGAATAAGAACACATGGAGGGATGATGGATAAGCGTACCCTGGAAGACAGCATTCCATACTGCAACATTTTGTTGCAGATATAATAAGCAACTTTGTTTTATTATTGAATTGTCCAAAGTGCTGAAGAGCTGGTTTTAATGGCGACACCTAGGACTATTCCTAGAGCTGCAAGTACTGTATCCCTAACACAACTGCGCAGTCTTGTGTTTCTTACCTGTTCTGCACTGGGAGCTGAGTATTCTCCTGGGAAAACTGACATCTGAAGCTGTCATCTGAAGGGTGAAACAAATAGGTAAGGTCAGGCATATAAGCAGCAGGATTCCCTAGGCCTGCAACTTAACTTCTGAGCAGACAGATGTCTCAGTAATCAGGATTTTGACCATGTTTTATCAAATGTCTACTTTCTACAACATGTTGCAAGTATTTGAACAATTGTGATACTCCAGTGGCAGGCCCATGCAGAGCTTGTCTGAAGCCTGGGAAGTGTCTTGTCAGAATAAAGTTATAAACTCAAACAAAAAAACAGCTGGTCCATGGAGGCCGCCTCCCGCCAACTTAGTCCTTCAAGTCCCAGGGCAAGTATACCTGGCTTCCCACCCACTTTTGCAGGAACATGCCACTGAAAGAGGGAGTCCCCATTTTCTGACAAATTTCAGTCCCCAAGATTGCGTGGGAATAGCTCAGTAATGTAAGGGTTCACTTAATGCCTCCCATTTAATTGAATAATTATGGTGTGGTTGGTATCAATCATTGAAACAAATAGTTCTTATACCAGGGAGGTGCAGTGAGTGAAGCCCTGTGGTTTCTGATGGTATTGAGGCCAGAGCCAGATGTAAAACACTGGTTTCTGCCATGTGCAAGGGTGGAATTCAACTTTTAAAATATTTCTGTTCACCAATGATGTATAGCTGAAAG